GGCCACCAAATGCATAGAAAGTATATTTTAGATATAGATTTTAATTTTAATTCCTCCATCCTTTCCGCATGAAATCCTCTCGCTTGCAGGCACTCGAGGTGAGAAAGACGTCCGCGTAGAAGGGTCTATCTCATTTTCATCCCTTTCCCTCGCTCGTCTCCTTTGATCATGTCGTGAAATGTCTTGTATTACCGAGTCATTGATAGGTTTGCCACATTTGAATTAAACAAAATGTGGACGCATAGAAATATGTAAATATATTCGAAGTACGAGGTACTTGTTTATGCGGCTATGCCACAAATACCCAGAGCCAAGACGCCAATTGATACTATGAGAGTGTGGCCTGGTGCTTTGGACTTACGGAAAAGGGCCGTTTTAGCACCTATTAAGTTTTAATAATTAAAAAAATCTCAATAAGTTTATCATATGGACAAAACAGTGTCCGTATTAATACCAGTTTGCAGTATCTACGAAGCGTCTGAAATATGTACTATCAATACTATTTATGAACGGGTGACAATCCTAATAATCGATGGTACCCGTGCAATGCTTAGACACCTTTTGCCTCGGTGATGACCTCATCAATAGATCCTCAATAGATCAATGACCTTGTCGATGACCTTCGCAGTCTGGCTACGCTTCGATCAGAGCCACTTGATGCGCTTGAAACTCCGCGATTCATTCACAAGAGTAGTTAGGCCCGTGTATCCTTACGTGTCCATTGTTCTTGGAATGCTGCTCACAGCTCCAGTGAGAGTTGCATCTGCAGAAAAAAGCTTATCCAAAATGATACAACTTATAACTTATCAAGCATGTCACAAGAACGCCCGACAGGAAAAGCCATACTCTCTATCGAGAGGGAGATCGGCAGGTCATTGAATCACAAGAAAGTGATCGATCAGCTGGTGGCAAAGATCTTAGAATGCTGCTCACAGCTCCAGTGAGAGTTGCATCTGCAGAAAGAAGCTTATCCAAAATGAAACAGTTTATAACTTGTCAAGCATGTCACAAGAACGCCCGACAGGACAAGCCATACTCTATCGAGAGGGAGATCGGCAGGTCATTGAATCACAAGAAAGTGATCGATGAGCTGGTGGCAAAGGTTCCAAGAATACGAACGCTAAACCTTTGGACAACCTACATAAATTCCTCTCCTTCCTTGCTTAATAAAAATGTAGTGATTTTCATTTTTTTTCCTAATAGAACTTCGCTAATCGAAAATGAAGTGAGGGGCAAATCATAGGAACCCAGAGGTGGCCCAATGTCTTTGCCGCAGGGGGCCCCGCATTTTCCCGCGCCGGGTCTGATTACGGAGGCCCATAGCACTTGGCTTGCTTCACGTTCTACGTCATTAACGAGACTATGGTACAGGTTTAGAAGAAATTGACCAGGAAACTGTCCAGACCTCAACACCCAGATCACCTGTGGTGCAGGTTCCAGCATAGTGCTCTGCGTCAGCCTCATCCCATAAATCGAGTGTCAGTTGTTGGCAGGGTTCTAAGTGGAATGAGAAACCAACGCAAAGAGTGTCATCTGTCGGTTGGTTCAGAACTTCGGGACGGTCATCTGAGGTTCCTGGAGGTCCACGGAAGTCATACCAAATATTGATGTAGGAGTTGGTACCTTGGGTATTCCTGGCCATGTGGAATGTAATTAACCCTTTCAGACCTGAATTAAGGCCGCTATCGGAATAATATCCTTTTTTGCATTTTTTTCCAGGTTTTTCGCGATTATAATTTAAATTTTCATGCTTTATATGTAATTTTCATATTTTGTATAAATTTATCATTTCATACCATATATCATATATTAAACATTTAATTAAATAACTGAAGATTATAAAACTAATGGGTGAAAGAAGGCCTCTGATAGAACTGAGCCATGCATAATTGCGCCCATTGTAGCATAATATGGAGCACAAAGTCACGAGAATTGTAAATGCAATGTCCATTGGAATGGACAGTGTGAAAAGTGTGGACGTGTGAAAGGGTTAAATCCCCACATCCACTATACATCCACTTAATTAAATTCGGCAACATACCGCAGAATGGGGAATTTACTAGAAGAGTCTTGGGTTTGAAATTCTATTCTGAAAGTTTTCTGTGTATTCATTAGCGAGTGACTTTAAAATTATGTTCCACTATCCTTGTAGCTGTAGTGTCCTAGGCTTCGGGAATCCATGGTCAACAACTTAGCAGTATTTTATCTTCAACCTGAAATGAAAATTGAAATTATCATTTAAACGGTTTTCCTTTAAATCAACTTTCAAGTCAACATTCTCATGGTCTCAAGACAAAAAGGAACACCCTGTATGAACAAGACCATAGCATGTGATGATGCCTTAAGAGGGAAGAGCAGACACTACTTTCCACCAGAATATTGACTGTCATCAATATGACTTCATCTAGAATTCTATAGCTGCTGCATCTTACTGAGGAACATTTAGCTTATTTCAACTTAGAATATGCAAATTTCTGTCTAGGAGAACCACCTAACAGTGATGCACAGGACCTGACAAAATCCTTGAAGAGTAAAGGTTTTGCTTACTCACATCCATTATCCTAAAGCATGTGAGTAAGCAAAACCTGAACTTGCCAGTATGAACCATGCAAAGCCATGAGTGATTATCACCATGAGTGAGTGAGTGAGCCACAAAAACCATTTCAATTCCTGCACTTGCATAAACCATACTCAAAACTGTATTCATATATTCATTGCTCAATCGTGAACTCAATTGAGACAAGACATAAAATCAGTTTCTTTGAACAAAAATAGCCTGTGGTGTTTCCTCAACATTTACAGTGTTGTTTCCTCCACCCAATGACATGTTCAGTGAAAAGTGGTTTCAGAGGGTTGAATCTCCTCATCCTCACAAGATCAGAGGAATGCTGCATAGACATTTCCCAGGTTGTCATCATCCACCACTGTTGACCTAGCTCATCCCATGCAGCAATTTCTCTGATATTGGGAAGGCCCATGACTTCACTTATTAGCCACAGACAACCTTACATCTCAAACTGCTGCTTTCCCAAAATGGAAACACCACTGCATTCAAAGCTGAATAGGAAGGGAATGTAATGCTCAATGCATATAGCTGTTTATTCTCAAAAAGCCTCCACATTAGTTAGACAGTGCTGGCGCTGTGCTGTGGATGGCACAAAAGGATCGTAGGTCCATTTGGGAAAGACCCGCTTGTACAGGTTCATGAGGATTGTATCCTGAGACTTTACTCGGCCATCAAAGTTGCACTTCATCAGCCCATGTGTACCTGATATCAAATTGTTAAAATAATTCATTAAGAAATTTTAAAAGATGAGTCAAGTGAGAATAAGTACTGACCTAGAGGTTCTTTGATGTGTCCACGTCTTCCATATTTAGAGTGGAGCTCCACTGGCTTGAACCATTCCGCATCCTCCCTGTTGAAGAACATGAAGCGGACGACGACACTCCTTTTGTATACTTTGAATGGGTACCCACTCAAAACGATGCGCTTCACAACAACTCGGTTTGGGTCAGCTGACAGTACAGATCCCATCCCTACCAGGCTCTTCATGAAAGCAAATTTACCTTGAGTTCATTGATTATTGACAGTTGAGGTGCAGAATTAAAGTGAATTATTCTTTACCTGAGAACCGTTAGAGTTGAGCCGAAAAACCACCACTGGACAAGGAGGGAATGTGATCGGAGCAAAGCAACTTGCCACAACGGTACCTGATGCCCGCAAAAACCTCTCCATCTACATCCCAACATCACACAACAAAGCCATGACTGAACTCATAAAAAAAGCAATGGTTTTTCAGTTTATATGGAAACTTACCTTGTGTTTATCTCCATGAGAGTGTTGACTGAAAATAGGACAGCTGGCAAAGCGACGGAATCCAACATGAAAGATGAGCTTTTCCTTGCTCTTGATTGGCTGGGTATCATCTGCCACAGCTGCAGGGCCTCGGATCACATAGTTCATCACCGACATTTTGTGTTCATGAGGGAGAAGGCCAAAAAGCACAAGAGGGGAATTCCCTTCCTTCTGCTTTTCTTGGATTAGGTGAACAGGGATACTCTTCACATGCACTTCCACATACCTTCCCACCTACCATACAAAGTTGCTGATACAATTCCTAAGATTAATTTCCAAGGTACAAAAGGAGACATTGTGCTTACTTGAATATTGCTAGCATCCTCAAATGCTGTGCCTGAGCGTATGGCCTTCAAGATTCGCCTCCGCATGTGATGAAAGTTCTGAAAGGCAAATATCCTAGAATAGTCCCAAGGTAGGTTTTCCTTTGCATCCCAGGGCGAATCGCGGAAACTTTCCAAGCCACGATACTTCTGGAAGCGCACTCGAGCTGGGGTATCCATTGGGGTATCCAGCTCATCGGGGAACATTTCATCCTCTCGTGCAGCTGGAAAAACAAATATATCAGTTCTTTCAAATTAGGTCTGACGCCAGTTTACGGGCTGTGAACATTAGACAAATGTACACACTGAGAGTATTGTGAAAAAGAAGACAAACCTTTCACTTTCTTTAGTTCCTCCTTCTCCTGATCAAGGTCAAAGTGGACTGCCTTGACATCACTCATGCTCATTGTCTCATCATCTCCACTTTCCTCTTCATCATCACCCTCTTCTTCACTCCCTTCTGCTTCTTCCTCTGCAGATTCCTCAGCCATGCTCTCCTCCTCATCTAGTCAAAGTGAGAATTGACCATGTGAAATGAGGTCAATCATGGATGAAACTGTGAGATGATGAAGAATGGGACAAAAAAGAGACCTGGTTCTTCGTCATCCATTTCTCCACCAGAGGAATCATTCAGAGGAGATTCAGGGGAGTCTTCTTCATCATCATCATCAAGAATCCAGGCAGCTTGGTACTCAGATGTTCCTTTAGGAACCTTTTTTTTCTTCTTTTGTGCCTTCCCAGCTGCTACCAGCTCCTCCTCTGTTGGCCATGTCTGTTCACCTTCCATCTCATCTGGCACATTCTCTGCCTCCAGGGGTACCTTATAAAAATTATCAATCATTTTTAAAAATAAGATTTTAAAGACTATTTCAACTTTGATAATTGACTGAGTCACCATGTTTTCTTCTCTGATGTAAATGAGTAAAATTTTTAGCCTGATCACTTACAATTTATCTCCTATAACTCAAGTTACTCTTCCTTTCACAATCTGAAATATGCTTAACTATTAGCTATATATCTTGCAGAGTAAATGATTCATTGCCTGATGAAAATTTAAAAAATTTAAAGGACTGTAAAGACTGAAGAGGTTCTTCAGGATGAGTCAGTAATCAGATCATTGCATGTTCTCATAGCATACTCCATTACAAATATTGTTACTTCATGCTTTTCATTTACGTATGACTCACCAACAACCACAGTTGTTCTAAATATGTATGGTGAAGCTAACCATGAACCAAAATGAACATGACAAATGAATAAATGTTTTATAAAAGTAAAGGGGAATACAAAGCAACCTTCAATACAAATAGTTTGCATAATTAAAGGAGAATAGCAGAGGAACCAAATGCATCAGCAAAAACTGGCCTTCAAAAGTACAAAAAGTAGGTGAACAGTGCTGTATTTATAACTTTGCATTTGGCTATACTCTTCCAAGTCATGATCAAGGAAATTATGAGTTTATAAGGAGCTTTTGAATAATGCTCTTGTGCTTCTCTATGTTACTCTTGATGCTAATAGATTATGATGCTGAAAGGTTATGATTCTAAAGTATGCTTATATATGGTGCTACCAAAAAAAAATGCAGGTGATAATGACTTTTTTTTCATACAAACTCATTCAGTAAGTTTGAACAAGAACACCATGGCTGTCAAGCTCTTAATTACTGAGTCTCAACCAAACAATGCATCAGAAATGGTCTGGCCTATGTAGTTTTTAATTCAGGTAAGAATCCTTTTCATAATTCATGCTTCAGTGCTAGGTGAGACCTTAATGCAATGTGAACAGCACACAGTAATCGCAGTAACAGTGAGAAAGGTACCTCCTTCACCATATATGATTCCATACAAACCCTCACAAATCAAATTTCTTATGTAACAAACACACAAGCAGTAGCCATTCTCATTTATCATTTTGTCATCTTTCATCACCATCACCAATATCTCTACTTAAGAAACATCATATGGGAAGTCATACAATACCACAGGCCTACCTGTTTGACAGGATCAGGAGAAGCAAGGAGCTTGTTTTCATGCTCAGACATATCTACATCCCTAGGCCTCCTAGTATTTCCCAAGATGAGTGGATGGGGATCCTCCACAGCATATATCCCTGACATCTGGAAATCTCCCCAACCAGGTATGTGCACCAATTGATTCACATCCAAAGGGGTGCCTCTCACATATCCTCGCACTTTCAACAGTCCTAATCCTGGCTGGAACAATAAAACCATCCCAATCATCACTATTGAAAAGGAAACATGGTATGTTTGTCCAATAAAAAAGCAACCTTTGCTTACTTCATCTTGAGAGGGAGAGAAGCTGAAGGCATCTGAGAGAAGGTGGGGCCGGAGGTCCCGAAAAGCGATTGCCCTCTGTTTCTGGCTTCCTAGCTGACGCAGGAAGAGTAGGGCTTCACCTGATGTCCTCACATTCCACAATTTCTCTTCTGCACCAGGGAAGTGGGCCTGGATCTCTTTCATCACTTCCTTCTGCTTCTTTTCCAAGTCCCCCTTCCATAACACAATCCATTCAGTGAATATGAGGGAAATTTTCATGAAATTCTCAAGAATTTCAGCTATTGAATTACAACTCACTTTCTTTGGAGAAGCACCTAATAATAGATGTGATGGGGTCGGGAGACCCTGAGCAAATATAGCAGAAAGAAGATAAGATCCATCTTCACTCACTCCTTCCTCTTCCTCTGAATACAGAAAGATGACATTTGTGGCCACTTTGCACAAATCCAAAGCTCCACAAACATCCCGGGTGTCTGAATGAAGGGCAAATTCGAATCGCTGCTTCAACCTCGGCACTCTGCAAACAGAATCAAAGTTAGTGTTAGTCTAATTATAATCAAGTAAACAAAAAAAGGAATCTACTTTTCTAAACATACGTAATATGCAGAGAAACTGTAGTTTCCTTAGTGATGACAGCACTAGGATCTGCTTCTTTGATGAGAGAGATAAGTTTTGAGAAATGACCAGACAATCCATTGCCCAGAGGAATAAAAAGACAAAGGAATGGAGGAGCTTCTTTTGTTCCCAGGGATCTTTTTTGATTCAGAACTACTTCCTTCTTTGAAGCCCTTAGCTGCTTTAACAGATTCTTCTTGTCAGATCGCTTCAGGTCTTTCTTCAGTTTTCTGGCACTTGTCTTCATTGATACTCGTCCTAGAATGGATATTCAAATATTAGAAGTATGAAAAAATTTTTGTCAAAGGTCATTATAATATGGAACTTTTTGGCAAATCTAGTTTCATTTTGCTTATGACACCATTGCACTCATTAAGATCCCATTCATTTCCTAACAATCAGGAAATTTTGCGTTTATGGCACAGATAGAAATTGAGAAAATAGCAAATGGTTACATTCCTCACTATGGCTTGAGCAGAAGGTAGCAACCAAAGTTTTTAATTCTCTGCTTTTCTTGGATCCCATGAAAATCATGCCATAAAAAAAGACATTGAAAATCTGCAATAATTTTTCATTATGCAAAAAATATTAAGAGTGTGAGGTCGTTCCTTCAAGCATTTCCTTCTGTCCTAAACTTTTTCAAATAACATGCATGTGGTTAAAAAGTAGTATTCATGCTCATTGAACAAGAAAAAGCTATAGTTGAGGATCTTATCCTACAGCTAACTTGAAATTATCTAATGGTATATCCTCCTTCAATAAAAAGCTGTCATCCATGTTGTTCCAATGCTGAAATGTTTCAAAATGAAGCTATTGGTGAATGTTGATTCCTGACCAATTAATATATCCATGAAACTTCCCTAAATGTATGGTAGCTTTGTTTTGAGGCTTACATCTTCATTAATGTCTTTAATATCTGATTTCTATGACCCTCCTTATCCATACTCACATGATTGGGTATCAGGCACTTTTCTGGACCTGAACTGCATCTATTATTGCCATACCTTAAAGATCACAAGGTCATAGAAACTAAACTCAAATTCTTCATCCTCATTGTACCTATTCATGAGTGGTTCATAATTCCCCATAATTTTATTATTATTATTATACAAGGTTAATTTAGATGCAGACTTTTGTGGTAGTTCTGAGGTTCTGAATATTGTGTAAACACAAACAAGAAAATAAAAAGTCCTCCCTTCTACTTCTCAGACTTCTTTCAAAAACTGAGAAAAAGTGGTAGGTGAATGGAAAATTTTTAAAGAAGCTCAAGCTGAACAAAACCAGCTGGGAAGTAGGTTTTCGAAACAGAGAACAAGTAGAGGTGATTCCCTTCATGCAAAGCTTCATAAGATGATTGAGAAGAGGAATCTCAGATTATTTTGCAACATGGAATTTTGCTACAGGACTGCTATATCTCTGCAAAGATAAGCTGACCAATGAATAATTGAGCAATATGCCCTTACTCTGGAGTAATAGCAATTAACAGCTGTGAATATAGGCAAAGGATATATATTGCCCTAGCCTAAATGCTGAAAACCAATCGTTTCCAAAGCTTCTCCCTACAAAAAATCTCGATAAACTTCTACATATGGCATAGAATAAGTTTATACATCTGACATAGCCTCGGCTAAGGTATGCAAAATGTACTGGGACTTAGAACCAATTCGTACGTTTTCGAAACGACTTCGAATCCCCTACGGCATTTCACACTCCAAGTTCCATTAATGTAGTAAAAAAACAGGAATCCCGATTTATCTGTAAATGTAACTCACCTTTGTGGTCCTTGTGAATCTGTCCCTTACTCCGATGTTTTCCATGTTTATGCTGCTTGTTCTGCTGCTTCAAAACTCCGGGTCGATGCCGATCTAAAGCCATTTCGATGTCGCACAAACGTCGAAGTCGTCAGTAAAATTGGAGATCCGGAAAACGTGGACCTTCTCTCGCTCAGGATCGCGACCACGTGTTGGTTTCACTTGTTCGTGAGGGACGCCATGACAAGGCACTTCAGCTCTCTTTTGTCAAACATTCCAAGATCCAGTTTACGTACTTTCCAGTAGATGGCGCACCATACATATGCAGTCCAAGGAATAAACACTTAACTCTCAAAATTATTTGGACACTCCTCCGAAAGTTGTGAACGATGCGAGCTGGGCGTATTCAAAGAAGGAACAGGCATAAAAGTGTGCAGGAAACACCAGAGATATCAGTAGCAGCCGGTATTGGGTCGGTGTTCCACGAAGGATCACTGCTGTCAAAGGTGAACCCACACGTTATTTATTTCCTTATTAAAAATCCATTTTCTTCAACATTACCGGTGTCCGAACACTTTTGAGAGTATAGTGCAAGTACGAAGCATTCGTGTACCTTGAGCAAGAGCGTCTTCAACATGCCTTGATGCGGTTCGGTGATCCGAGGCACATAGTCTAATGTGTTGCGTCCGGAAATTTACATTTTTCAGCTTTTGGCAGTTGTGCATAACACATAGGTGTGGGTATATAGAGTATTAACGTGCGTCGTAACTTGACATTCACTTGAAATTCAAAAACACAGTCTAAAGAGCCAGCTGTCTGTTCTAAATAACTTTACAACCACCTAGAACCGTTCATAATCATTCATGATAACCAGTCGTTATATTGCAATAGTGTTAATATCCGGACACGCAGTTTTCTTCTGACATCAATAATTGAAACAAATGATAGAGATTCAACATTTCTTTTTATTTCTCACACTTCACAAACTACAGTAATTTAACATTAGGTCAACAAGGGTTGAGGGAGTCAGAAAAGGAAACAGAAATGACTTTTGATGACCATGCAGGAATCCTCTTAATGATGCTAATCACAGAGGGTCAGGAATAGGGAGAGAAACTTTAGGAAACGAAAAGCAATGACTTTTGCTTCAGCTTCACGGTTTGACTTGTTCAATATAATTGCCTGAATTTGTTGCACACGGGCAAGTAAATTGCATCCTTTTCCTTATGCCAGGAAGGATTCGAGTTCAGCAAATCAAACCGTGTGAAACAGGAGCCTTAGTATAACAGACAGTCACATCATATGAAAAAATACCTCTCTAAAAATTAGGAATAGTTGGGGGGGGAAAAAATCGCACCAGTGTGTAGTATAGCCTCAGGTACACAAGCACTCTAGGACAAAAAAGAAAAAGTTTTTTTTTTTCGAGTGGAATGTTCCCGGCAGTCCAATGCAGTATACTGCTGCCCCGAACGGAGAAGGAAAAATATCACAGGGTTTTTCTTTTCTTTTGAGTTCAGGGGAAGTCTCACATTCGCCCGGAATAATGGGACCCGTGGGTGGATCTGGGGATGGAAGACGTCGGATGAAGCTGCTTCGCCGCGGCCGAATACCCTCGGCTCCCCGGTCGAGAATGGACGATGGCGTAATGGTCGCTGTTGGTGGAATAGGAACGAGTGGAGTTCATCGTGGATCCTCCCGACGCATAGCCGGGATTCCCCTTCCCTCCGTTCAGGGAATACCTGCGAACATCGATCCATTCCTCTTTTTATTCACGACTGACGAATCGATGGACAAAATAAAAATTTGTCCTTTAGATTGAGATGCTCTGGGACTGAGCGCTTGTGAAATTCTCAAGTGCTCAATCCCAGAGCGAGTGCACAACACCGCTTATGAGGGCTCCGAAGGTATTTAAGAGAATACAAGTTTCCACATAACTTACACTTTTCTAAAATAGCCTGTGCTGAAGATGAATTCAAAAAAATACAAATCTTAACTCCATCATGTTTCGAATAATAATAAAAACTCATGAACTGACTTTAATTTCGAAGTAGTAATATAATGTCTACTTCTTAAACCTCGAAAACCCTTGAAGGAGGAGCTGCAACACAATGAATTTCCCCAATCATAGAGTGATTTCAACTTTGTGCAATCGATGGCATCGATTCACGATCGAGCAGACGAAAGAGAATTGAATATATTTTCTCTCGAGACGAGACGGGAGAGAGACCTAGAGCCGTAATGGGATCCATTCCAAGTCTTGTACGGGTCCTTATAAGGATCGTAGTCCTCCGAGATGGAGGGTTCCTTCTCCACCACTTCCGTCCGGGTGCAGGAACACGTCATGGAGGAACAGAGGAAGATGTTGATGATCATCATGATGAGGAAGAGGACACCCAAGATGACGCAGAGGATGAAGAGCCACCCGGGCGCCACCCCACACTCATCGTTGAACCCCGCAAGGACTAGACACGCCAAGAAAAAGGAGGAAATGAGAAAACGACGTCGGAATCTCGTGGAAAGTCGTGCGGCTCGTTTGAAACCGCTCACAAAATTTTTTAAATTCTAAATAAATAAATAAATAATTCTGTACCGTGACGGCACAATTTTTTCCGATTTTGCTCGTAAAGCTGGTAATTGAAAGCTGGTAGCCGAGGAGGAAACGACAAGTAAGGAAAGCCGAATTCGACCCTCTTTCTGTGAATTTTAGCCTTAATGAACGAGGAATCAAAGGCGAGAACTATTCCAAGACCGACTGATGGCGATTCGACTGTTACGATAGTTCTTAATGCGACACGGAATACGAGTCCAATTATAACGATTCGACCGGTAAAATAGTTCTCGAATGCAACACGGAATACGAGTCCGACCGGAGAGAGATAAAAGACAATAGACAAAAGAATGAACGCGACAACGAGTGCGCGAGAACGTGTCGCAAGAGAACGAGCGAATAGTGAAAGCAATACCGAGGGGGTCGCCCGGTTCCAAGACGAACACGGTGGTGGAGGCAAGGAGCGTGCCCTCCTCCTCCTCTCTTAGGGAATTCCTCGGGCCCTGAGGGAGTGCCCGGCCCGCCGTTCCTCCGTCCCCGCTGCACACCGGGTCCTCGCACAATCCTGCACGGTCGCATCGAGATCAAAAACGGGGCCGTGACATCACGCGATTTCGCGTGGTGGGGGGGGTAGGGTAGGGATCGGGTGGGAGGGGTACGAGCTGGGCTTAAAGCGAAGAATAGCATTTACCCTCTAAAAAAGAGCAAAGCTTGAGCTTTGAAAACACACGTACACACGCGCGTACCACCCACACGTCCATACCCACACGCATTTTTGCTAGTTAGGAGCCATACATACCGACCCGAGGCCTTGCCGCACGTAACGAAACATTCTTTAATCCCTCATCGTCCCACGTTCCCGGCTGTCGTTAAGGGTACTTCAGATGATCACTGAAACCGCTTGTAATTTAGCCGGCGAAAATCACGAAACGGCCACAGAAACAGAATCCCTCGCACGGTTCCTCGCAACTACATCTGAACACAAAGAACGTTTAACTCCGAACATCGGAGGAAGGCAAGAAATTTTGACACGAGGCAGAACATCGTCGATCGGTCACAGTCGGTGGAGAAACGACGCTCGGCTCCGGTAGACATCATTATTGCGGAATGTTGTCGGAACAAAGCAGCAAGAAAAAAAAAGACCCTCCGGAATGTCGACGTCCTTATCTTCCGCCGTAAATACGATAAAAACTCCCAGTTTTTTTGCCGCGATCGATCGAGCCGATCTCGGCGGGAAATTCCCCCACTCGTTCGCGGGAAACCGTCGCGAAGTCGAAACGGACTCGGAACCGAGTGAATTCGCCTCGATACACCCACGACGAACATCCCATCCGTGTCTTTTCGACACTTGTGGGATTGTGGGAGGGTACAAAAAAAAAAGGCCTCGCAACCGCGTGGGAAGGAGCCCCACATCTTTCCTTTTCGCATGATGGCTCCACGATAAACCGGATGAACGACGCACATCACGAATCGGGATGAGCAACATCGTCCGATCCGGCACGAAACGCGGGCGAGACTCCGAGTCTCGGAACGGCTCCTCCACCCAAAACATGCAAATAAATCGATATCGGAGTTTCGCGAACGGGCGCAGAGGACTCACCCCGGCAGATGGCGATGTCGCATTGAAAGTGGACCTTGTTGTTGTGGGGGAACTTGAACATGGAGAAGATGATGGCATCCGCAGCTCCGATCGTGCTGTTGTATCGGAACTTCGAGATGACCTTCCTCATCGGGCATCTGCACCGAAAAGAAACCAAATCATCGTCTACGCATTCGATCACGACGATAAATGCGACCGCGTGTTCGCGAGCGACGAAACGCATCCTTGATAGAAGGAAAAACAAATCGCATAGCAACCCCCAAAAATATGTATGCGTGTCATCTCTGGGACGTGACAGAAGGACAAGGAACCCCCGAATATTTCATCACCGAATTCCGAAGAGGAGACGTGAAGCAATAGTTTCGTTCCCCCCCCATAACGTCCCCGGTCCGAAGAGGAAAGAAAACGATCGGGGCGAGGATTCGAACGGGACTCGAGGAACCGGAAAAACCGGGAGGGCAAAGAGGAAAAGGAAATCGGCGGGGAATCATTTAAGGGAGATCGTGGGGAAAGTGACGGGAGTCGGAGGGAAACGAACTCTCGATTCTTCTCGAGACTCGGTCGACTCGGTCGACACCGAGGGGGATCGTCGCGAGATCCGGTACGGTGGGCAGGTCCGGTCTCGCAGAGAGCAAAGGGATGGAAATGGACTTTTAGAAACCGGCATGGAGTCGTGCGCGCGTGTGTGTGTGCGTGTGGAGAGAGAAAGAGAGAAAGAGACTTTCGAAAGAGGCAGAGGGATTCCGGATGATGCAATCCGGCTTTCCCTCTCTCTCCGCTCCTATAGGCACGACTGCACGAAGGCTGAATGGACCGGACCGGACCGGACGGGACCGAACCGAGCCGGACCGTTCCCGGTCGAACGCAAACCGAGTCGGAAGAAGCCTCAGGGGTGGTATCGCGTCCGTGCACACACACGCAGATGTACCGAAGAGAGAGAAGGGAGTAATTATATCCTCGGGAAGGAGAAGGGAACTCGGAGCACCCGGGCCGCACATAACAGAGTGGGACGGGAGGGGGCAAGGATATGCAAATCACCAAGCCCATCCCGGCATTTTAGTTCATTCAACTCTGTTAAAGAAAAAAAAGAAGAAGAGAGAAGAGCCTTCGATGAGAGAGTGCGCGTCTGTGTCTATAAGGGATAGGAATGACGATGGAAACCCGGAGGCAATCACGCCCTTCCTCTCCTTCCTTTTCCTTCGTCCCATCCCCTCATCCATCCCATCTCTTCATTTATTTTTATTTCGTGATAATTTTTTGTCGTCCTCGCGGCTGCGACCACGACGGCGAAGCGGTGGATCCCGGTCGCTTCGGAGCCGAATCACCGCCGAGTCCTTGAACGGGACGGCGGATTCGGGTCATCTCGTTTACACGACCTTCATCTTCCCCTTCCCCTTCCCTTCATCTTCCCCTTCCCCTTCTCTTCCCCTGCCTTTCGTATTTCCCTCTGACCGTTTAAATCTCTTTTCATTTCCTTCCACGATCGATGAAGTTTTCTTCCGCACGACGCGTCCCACGGCCATTTAAATTTGTTGCCTCGCGAGCGAGTCGGATTCCGATCTTCGCTTCGGATTCCCATCTTCACTTCTTCATTTCTTCACTTTCCCTTCCCGACGGGTCGGGCTCGGATCGGGCTCGGAACTCCTTTCACCGCATTCTTCGAGCTCTCGGGTCGGACCTCAAAAGTGGGAATCCGACTCCACTCGCGGCATGCAGGAAGTCTGGAAATTCCTTTTTTTATCGATACATTTTTTCGCGTCTGCGCAATAAATTCGGACGACCGTGACTCGAACCGTTTCGAGTTTCCTCGAAGCCACCCGAGCCCTGTTAAGCCTGAGTCGAGCTAGCTTTAGAGAAATAGCAAACGGTTGGAGATGGACCTGGGCCGGCACTGCAGTCGGAATCGTCCGCCGCTTTCGAAACTGCACAAAAAAATTTTACTCCGCACTTTTCCGAATGCAACCAGAACAACCGAAAAGGATTCCCAAGAATTGCCTGCAAAAAAAAAATTAATGACACGGCTGAGAGAAAGAAAAAGAGAGAGAGAGAGAGAGAGAGAAAAGACGAAGTCGTTCGGAAGCGGAAGTGGATGGACTTCGAGGGCCATTCCGTACGACTTTCCCGTTACGGTCCACGACGATCCGGTTCTCCGATACCGACGGAATTTCCATTTTCCAGAAATCGATCCACGCAGGTGCGGCCGGGGACGCGGGACGGATGCGGCCTTCGGGGCTCGGAGAACGGGAAGCGTCCTCGGCCGTCGCGTGCGTGCCAAGGACGGCCGGTCGCGTTCCCTCTCGTCCCCGATGTCACCCGCAGGACGCGAGGACGAACACGAGATGCAGATTCCTCGTCCCCGCACGTCGGACGGTCACGTCGCAGCCACGAGCGACGGAACGCATTCCTCTGCCGATCCCCTCCCCGCGCGAATCCGGAAATCGTGTCGGACCGACACGCGAGACTCCCCCCCACTCCTCCCTCCCCCCCCACGTCACGTTGGACTCTCCCCCCCGTGTCATGTACCCGTCACACCTTCCGACCCGAATCCCGACCCCACGTCATGTCAGAGCCCTCTGAAGCTTTTCTCGCTTTTATGGCCCCGAATCCTCCGTTACGGCTCGTTACGATCGATCGTATCGGGAAGTGGAATGGAGAGAATGGATCCTTCCCATGGATCCCACGCCAAAAAAGAAGCATCGAACCTCAAAACGACGAACTGTCCTTCCGGTAACGAATGACAACAGAAGGTCATCGATCCAACCATCAAATTTCCGTGGAAATTTCCGTGACCAGAAACTTTTTTATTATTAGAGTCTGGCCATTGAGATAAAAACAACAAAATTGTGCGTTTCATCGAACAAAAGTTGAAATATCATCTGCAAAACATTCGCGTGTTTCTTTTACTTTTGAAGGGGTGGAATAGTAAGGTTTCGCCCAAAATATTTAGTTCCGAATGCTGAAACCTCCAATTAACGGTCCCTTAAGAATCCACGAACTTCTATGGCGTTTCGAGAGCAGTTCGGCTAAAAGGCCCCTTTATCTCCCCTAAATGAGGTTCCAGCATTCGAGCTCGAATTTTTTTCATTCGCGGTGAACGTGGAACTCACCCGTGCTCATCGATGAGAGCCGTGCTGTTCTCCCCGGAAAAACCGAAGCAGTTCTTCACCTTGATCCCGAATGCACCTGTTAAGACGGAAAACAAAAATGTCCGTTTCGATTGAGCACACGGAAGGCGGTGGCGACGGAAGGCGGCCAGGCGTGAAGGGAAGAGGGCAAAAGTCTCGCATCGCAACGAAAGAGCGAACGAAAGGAAAAAAAAAAAGGTAATAAAGCAATTAGATCCGAATATATCCCTCTCACCGTTAACGAGGGAACCGAAAGGG